AATCACCCGCTACATAAGTCGATCTCCTTCCTCATGTTCTGTCATATCGAGTGCGGTGAAAAATGAAGATCACTCTAGCCCTGTCTCGTTGCAAAAAGGTAATCCCGTCTTTGGGGTGGAAGCACTCCAGCAACCTGATTTCCATGGTCTAGAACAACGACTGAATTCAGCGGTGCCTTGCTCTCGATAACGAGTGGAAAGATCGAAGATCTGGCTGATCTCTTCCTATGTCATGTCGTAGATCACCGTTCGTAGAGCCTCTTGCGTCCTGTGCTGATGCTGGTTGAGGCTCACCCGCTGATCAACACAGGCGTTTTGCTCAGCCGAGAAGCTCATCAGAATCATGTTGATCAACTGAAGATTACCTTCCGCCTTGGCGACTTGGGCTTGGTATTCTGGCGTTCTCGCTGCTTGCCGCTTGATCCGTGCTTCCAGCATTGCTTCTTTTGTGGCGCGATGGCGTTCAACATTATACTGGCTTGGAGAGTCGTCAGACATATTAAGGTTTGTTTCCTCATCATTTGTAAAAGAGATGCCGCGTCAGGCGCGAGTCTTTTCAAGTGCGCGATCAGCACCAAGAGCTGGTATTCTATGCCGGTATCTTGCAGCCGGAGCCGTTAGCGGCTGCTCTTCGATGTCGCGACGAAAAGCCACCTTCATTTGGCCTAGTCTTGAGTTTAACTCGTTTGAGAAGTAAAGCCTTAAACAAATCTGGATGATGACACATGCTTGATTGTTCATACTGTACTGTATGTACTATATTGTACAGTGTGACTTTTCGAAGGTGAGTTCTGTCGTCACGATCCAGATGAGCCCATTCAGCGCATCCTCGTCACACTATACTCCACCTCATCCACGATAAGACACTGATCACACGGCTGTACTGTCAATGAGGAGTTCAATAACGAGGCGGGCAATCATGGCGGTCGAAAATTCATGATGGAAACGGACGAATTTGGGCACTAAAAAAGACAAGAGGACACCGAAAACCCTGGAAGGGTTCCGGATTTGGTGTTTGAGAATACCACGCCTTCCGAATAGGGGTCTCCGCCGAAACGACTCGTCTCACTGAAGCCACATTCAACGCCTCGTGAATCAACCCGGCCCTCGTGTTGTCGTGGTACCCGGCAGAATCTGGAATTCGATAGTGACTGTATGCCACCCCAAAGGTGGAGCAAGATTCGCTGAGAGCAAAGATATGGAAGACGATTTGGCTCCCCAATTCATCAGAAGCATCTACAGTTCGTGCCGGGACTTGAAACGTGCCGATGGATGTCTCCTTTGAGTCCTTCGTCCCGCTTGGGTCTTGCCTTACCATCCCATTCATGCTCCCGCCTTCTTTGTCGCGATCGAAGAGCTGGTTTCGCATCACTCAAATAACAGGTTTCCGTCATAGGCATTGCAGAATATAAATCGGAGGTGCTTGGGATGTTCCACTGCCGATTTCCGCAAGTCTATCGGCCTTGAGCAACTCACGATGGCACCAACCACACGTTCCAAAACCACAAGTTCCAAAACCACAAAGACCCCTGTCAGCAAGACTCGTACAA